GAACAGATTCTACTTATTTTTTCTTTTTCCAATTTTATAATCATGTATTTTGTTTGGCTTCTTTCTCTCTCATTTTTGCATCACTTATAATTAGTGCAACTCAACCTTCATGTCTCCAAGAGCCAGGAGCCTGCCTATTTGCAACGTTCAACAGGTAATCAAGACTGATTAAGCACTGAACATGGCCTAATTGCATTAGATCTCAGAAGCACACTATAACCATCATAACTGCAAACACACATGGTCTCTCAAAAAAAGGGATTTAAGTCTCATAAGTGGAAGTATTTACTTCTTCAGTAGAAAGAGAAAGGCTTATGATTCCGAGTGTTGCATTTGAAATACAAAACCCAAACTCAATGCTATAAAGTCTTTGCGAATGAGGTTATGTGATTAATGGCATATATGTTATTTCTACCTTTTTATAGGATTATCAATCTCATAAAAATTTAGAAATAACACCTTTAAGTCATACCATATTATTACTATTTGTATACTGTTTACGTACTATTTTTTTAAGCCAAGACAAACCAGAATTATGTACAGTATGCCATATGTGCCTTAATGAATGAACATGCTTTGTTCACTCTGCTGCATCTGAACTTTTTCTGTATCACTGTGAAACCCCTTAAGTGTGCTGTGACATGTCCTGAAGTCCTTGTTTAGCACCTCTCTCTGTGTGTTCAGGGTGTGAACTGATACCTAGTGTCAGCTAGCGACAGAATGGCGAGAGAGAGGTGGCTGAGGTCTACATGAACGAAGAGGCTTCGAGGATTAGCCCTGAGAAAGCAGGAGGCACACTGGGGAGAAAGAAATTTAAATGGGAAGAAATTGAGAAAGAAAGAGAGCAGAGTAAAAGTGAGAGATGAGGCTTTAATGGGGAGGGGGTTGTCAATTTTCTCCAATTTAGCTCAGGAGGAAGCTATTTTCTTGGAATTAAACGGTTGGATCAATGCAGCTTTCCAGCCATTTATTAGTGCGTAGTGACATCAACTGTTGCTGCGTTGCTTCGTGCATTTTTATTTATTTTTTTTTTTTTACAGGGCTCAACCTTATCACCACTTGTCAGTTAATTATGCATTTAAAATGGGGGGCAAGAGTTCAGCAGTGAAACACTTTGATTGAGCCCTTTGAACTCAACCAGGAAAGAAATCAGTTCTCTTAATCCTGGCTCCTATGTGATCATCGTAGCCGGAGGATATAGACCTCTGTGTCCATCATCTCACGGTCAGCCAACTGCAGCACCATTACTAATGCAATCACCCCTGTGATCTGAACTTCAGAACCTTGAAACAAAATAGATAAACAAGTCAAAGATATGGCGCAGAAGAAAAAGAAAAAGAAGGTGTGAATGAGTCATCCGCAAAAGGGTCATCCAATGTGGACCTAAAGAACTCTTCCAGCTGGTCTTGATAGCCTAAGGTGATGTGAGCTATGTGATACATGATCGTTTTGATCATACAACAAGTAATGCTCCTCTCATTAGCACAGGTCACACTCTCGGCTTCAAGTAGTTCACACTTTTCAACGTCTTACCAACAGAGACTAACATGGAAAGATCGAACTGAAAAGTTAAATGCTACGTGCATAATGTAAAAACAATTATTATGAATAGTGTAGCATGGTATCTGCTGTAAGCATATTTAAAGGCTTGTGGGTGTATGGCGTGGATCTCAAGGGTTTAAGGGCATCTTCCGCTGACTACAAGCCAAGTCAACATCTGGAACATAGCAGGTTGTGCAAAGATCCATTTCAGTATTCCCAAACTCATAAACACTCAAGATCAAGGACCAAACACACCTCTGTTTCTATCCTAAAGAAATCTATTGCCACAATTTATCAACTTTGATTGGTTAACTCTTGGACTCTCAGAATGAAACCCTTCATAATTTAGAAGCTGCTCTAAATGCAGTTGGCCGGGCTACATCTAAATGTTTAAAAGTCAAGTGAAGGAAGGAGGCGGTTAGACCTGAAGTTATGTCCTCCAAGGGAACTTTACAAAGATCCTCTCACAGATTTATAGCCACTTACCTAGGAGCCTAAGTCGATATTCATAAACGTGCCTTCAAACAAAGCCCCCATCCACTATCCCTGCTTGTAAATAAATACAGATATGCCTCTTTTACAGACAGCAGCAATCTAAAATATTACCACCAGCATAATTTTACCACACACATTAATATTTTACGGCACATTGTATTTTACCGCATTGAATCTTAAACTTTCATGGCCGGCCCCAAGGATTTTATTCCTTAGGAGTCTGTATCATTATTAGCCAAGATGTATAGCAGGTAGAGCAGACGATTGTCTTGCTTTTGTACTCTTCACAATTTCATACATAATTTTTTCAAAAAATGAATAGAGTCAACAGCGCTATCCCCTTTGCTTTACTCAGGTTATGTCTTCTAAAGTTGAATATCTTTGTAATGAACTTCAATTTTTATACTGAGACCCTCTTGACCAGTGCCAAGTTAGTTGACTGTATTCTGTCCTTGCGAGCTAAAAAAAACATTGTTGTACTATGACATTCCTTTGCCATTCGTTTTTATACAAGGTATCGGTTCATTAAATTTAGCATCCATAGGCAGATTTATAAATTGCTCATGTAATGGTAAGACCCTATTAAATCTAGTTTGAAGTGTTTAGTTTTTCATCTAAACAAGTAAAACCCAACCTGTACAGTATCTGCCTCATTATGATGGGAATAAACTCTTAACATCTGCACGTGTGTATTTGCATCTGTGCTTGTGTATATGCCTGTGTAGTGATTTAAGTGGTTTTAGTGTCAAAACAAGTCTAATGAGCTGGCACAATAATTATCAGCCATTTTGCTCTCACTTTAGCTAATTGAGGCTTTATATTAGAGTTAATACCACTGCCTATGTACACTGTTTTACAGTTACCAAAATGTTTGGCCAGAAATAGTGCTGCCAATAATTTAGATTTTTAATTTGTGCATGTCAGTGTTTTAATATCTCCCTATTAACCATACTTATGAGCTTTGACAATCTTCCCCAGATGGAGGTAATTGATCAACTCCTGTTTTGTGTATTTTCTACTAATGCAGACAACTACTGTATACAATAGTATATCAAAAAGGGCAAGTAGTTGCTTCGCTTCTGATTTGCTTTAGTAGTGTATTTAAGAGTCTTGATCTAGAATTTTTCTTTTTGCCATAAATATAGATTTGTTTCTTTTATTTTTATTAACCTCTATAGAGCAAATTATTCTAATGGCATTACCATAATATACTGTATGCTACACAAAGGCTCATCATATACCGTGGAATTGACATTAAAGAGGTCCTCTCTTTTCCGATTCTCTCTGCACTTTTTTCTAAGTTGTCTTCCATGTTTCTTCCTCCTTTCTCACTTTGCTCCATGTATTTGAAGCGCTTTGTGAAATTCATGTCTTATCCAGGTGAGTATGAACTGATCCCCAGGCCCTTTGCTCTTGTCAGGAATCTCCTAGGCTATTGGGCTCTCCTGGGGCCCTGTTTCACACACCAAATTGATGTCTCCGACTGGAAATGACACTTTCAGCAGGATTTGCCATTCTAAACCACCTCAAACCCATGTGATCTCACCCATTCACTCTCAGAGGGATTGCCTTGAAATGCACCATAGCTTCAAAAGCCAATGAGCATAGCATTCTTGAATGAAAAGCTGATACATATCCTATCAGGGAAAAAAGAGAAGATATTCTAAAATGCTGGCAATGTAAAACAGTATTTTTGCTCTGAAAAAAGACCAACAGTCCCATGAATACGAAGGTATTGCCGGGGGGGGGGAATGCAATGGAGGACAAAAGGGAGTGAAACTAAAAGTAATCAATAACCACATGAATTTTCATGTGTAGGTGCTTGTCCACCATTTGCTTTATCTTGTTAATATCTGTCTCGGTCTGTCCGTCAGACCCAGGTGCTATGATTTATACATACTATTTTGGTCTCACCATCTTTTTCTAACGCTCCATTTAAAGGAGAACCACAGCGACCATGTTGCTTTGCTTAAGGAGTAGTTATGATATAATTTGACACCGGAGTAGAAGGAAAAGGGAAAAGGTGTGACCAAGAATCCCTCCCTTGACTTATTTTCATCCCCAAGTCTTTTCTGGGCTGCACGTTTCTCCTAGGGGGCTCTACAGACTAGCATAATGGATAAGGGCAAGGGTGTGAAAGGAGCACCTTAAGGCTCCTCATTCAACTCTCCCAATCTCTCCTGCACACACTCTTGAGCTGTGAAGGCCTTCTTTCTTTGCCCTGCTAGCATGGGAGCCCTGTAATAGGCTCTAATTGATAGGGAGGTGTTGGGGTCTTTCTGTATGGGCTGAAGGGATGAGAGTAAGAGAGAGAGAAAGAGGGAGAGAGAGAGAGGATTACATGCAAGCATGTAGGGTGGAGCGGGGGAGGAGGAGAGGCTGTGGAGTGGTCTAGGCCCCGTTCGTAATGAGTCATTAATTTCCTAGCGGTTTTGTGGCGGTTGGCTCATTACTGGTCTGCAGAGGAGCAGGAACAAAGCTCTGGGTAGGTAGGAGGTGAGCTTAAATAGTTGGGGCTCAACACTTCCCAACAAAAGGAGGAAGAGAACGTTGAATGGCACTTGGAACAGAAGCAGTAAAAAGTGGCAGATGCAAATTGCGGGAGAGCAAGTCTTCCTTCAAGCACTTTTCGCTTTTTATTTTGTCAGACTGCAGCCTGAGAGTCTAATTAGTTAGTGAGGTGTTTCACTTCTGATAGGGCTGTGTCTCGTTATTATCACAAAGAGGATTCGTAGAAATGGGAGAAAACGCATATGTTCCACAGTCCCCAGTGGAAGCTGCTCACTGCAATAGTTTAATTGATTTGATTATTTATTTTACCCTATAGAAATTGAAAGATGTGCAATATTTTCATGTTATGAAGTGATGTTGTATATAGTTCAAAATATGATGAAACAGTATGATGATGATGCCGCAGGTAATTAATTATGTTTTTAATTATGTGTTTACTCTTCTCCCCACAGGCAGAATGATTATGGACAAATTGGCAGTGGTTCAAATGAAAATGTGGTCGTCCCTCGCTTTGTGGAGTGTGTGGACCACGTGTCGAAGGTCACCTGTGGGGCAAACCATAATCTTGCACTGACAGGTACAGTAATGCACTGTGCAGGCCTGCTATGATACACATAGATAATGATTAAAATATTTGCCTCTTAAAAATGCAGACATTTGTAATTGTCCCCATGTATACAGTGTATATGCCCTGTACCAGTTAATTAATAAAGAAGTTGATCCTATCATTGATCCTTCCACTATTATGCTACATTTTATATTTTTGTAAAACGCACCAGCCAAATCAGCTGGACAGTATCTTTAAGAAATGGAGCTGACGTCACTTGTCATGAGCTGTTACTGTGTGCTTCAAAGTTCACCTGTTTTACTCAATTTTATGCGAATATCAGAGCCCTCAAGCCCTTGATCGGCACATCACCTGAGAGAGAGACAAGAGGGAGAGAGAGAGAGTTAGCGAGAATATGGCCCTGGCTCCTGATCCATAACAGTCATTGCCTGTTACATACATTTCAGAATTCATTCAGGCTATGAAGATAATCGAGGTAGTCGACAGTTTCCCCTGCAGCCCAATGGATTTATGATAGCACTGTCAAGAAAATGAGGCGAAATGACACAGTAGCTGACTTTAGCTGCAAATAATGTGATAGGCCGTACAGTGGTGCAGCAGCAGCTGCTGTCATTGCAGGTAATAGGCTATAAAGAAGCCTGATAGCAATACCTGTCATTTCTTAATGGCTGACTTCACTGAAGAGCTTTTGTGGCCTTTAACATGAAGATAATGGAAGATACAACAAATTTTACAGCTTTTGCGTTGCATCCATAATTTATCACCAGAGGCCCCATGCAGCAGCACAACAAGGACAACATGCTCCTAGAGGCGTGCTGTAGAGAGATGCAAGATGAGCTGCAGGGGGTTAGAGGTCCCTGTTATACTTTGCAATTAATAGAGGAACAGCTCATGGTCCAAAACATCTTCTATCAGTTGATACTATTATATAGCTATTTGTTTGCAAATAAGGTTTTGTAAAAAATAATGTAATTCAAACAGTATTTCACTTATTATATTTAATTAATTACTTGATTACTTACTACTTCATATACAGGTGACGGCAGGTTGTTTCAGTGGGGCTGTGGACGGGCATGTGGGAACATAAGGAGGAATATCCTGTTCCCAGAGGAAGTGACGGGACCAAGCTCTGCGGTGAGAGACATTGCTGGAGGATGTTGGCATAGCCTGCTTCTAACAGGTTAGTCTCTGCATGGTTGAAACCTATTAGTATAGCACAATGTAATACAGGCTTTTACTAAATCCAGCAGTACCTTCTGCCTGCATTTTTCCGTTCATAGTACATGCAAACATGGAGTGCATGCTTACATGCGCTGTACACGCAGACATGTCCGCGACCTTAACATAAAGTATGCGTAAATCCTTGGTGTGTGTCTTGGCCCTCACACAGGCGTGAGCTTTTAGCTGTGGTGTCCATCTATCCACATCATTCATTAAGAGCTCTCTCAGGGCTAGTGCGGCTACATAAACACAGAGGTTGAGGCCACGGCTGCTCTTTCACCTCACTGCGGAGAACTTCAAAGTCACTTCTCCTCACAGAGCAGATGAATGCTCCCTGTCTGCCTGGCTGATGTATTGGCCCCAGTTGCTGTCTTCTTACTGTAGTATAGCTTTGACTGAGGCCCCATCGTGGAGCCAGAGCGGGGCCATTTGTTAGTTTTAGCTGTATCTCCAAGACCTGGCTTTAATTCTGAAGGGAGGACATTAATCCTTTTAATACAACACTTTGTAGAGTCGTTTTCCTGTGTTGCTAATGCTGTCTATTATTAACCCCATTAAAAGTGTAATACAATTTAAGTAGAGTGCTAAAAGTGGATCATTTGTTGCTCCGTTCTGTTTGAATTAATTCTCAATTTATGATCTAAATGATTAAACTATAGGAGTCACAGCACTAAATGAGATTCTTAAACGGCCAGGCATACATTTACACATATTAATACAAACATTTATGAGCACACAATCACACAGACATGTCAAAGTGTACAGACACACACACAAAGCTGCTGTGTGTTGCATTTGCTCTTCTAAATCCTGTAATGTCCCCAGTTTGATCCCTAGCTCCATTCTGTCATGAGGGAACAGAAATATCCATCTTCAATCAGGCCTTAATGAATAGCCTGATGAGTGTCGGGCAGAACTGAATTACCAGTTAGATTTGAAGAGTGTGAGAGTGTGTGTGCGTGTGTGTGTGTGTGTTTGAGAGAGTGAAATGGGCGGGGGGTAGTTGGAGGGTCAGTAGAACAGGACACATGTAGAAATTAATTCTCTCCAAGTTCAAAAAAGAAATTGGCTAATTCTGTCACATGAGCCTCATGGAATCGCCTTATCTATTGGTATGAGTCCTCATTTATTAGGGTCAAACTGCGGAGGGATGCACAAGGGATAGAAAAGAGAGGTTAGGGAGAGCAAGTCGTAGTGATGGAGGGTGAGATTTGAAAATTGCAAAGAAAAGGAGAGAAAAGAGTAGAAAAAAGATAGCGAGATGGAAAAGATGGAGCAAAAAGAGAGCAAGAGAGTCAGTGGTATGAGAGACAGCTTGCCTGGGCCGGAGCATATTGAGGGCAGCAGGTGGAAGAGTGGCACAGTTAATTAAAACGCCTGTCTTAATGTCTCAGCCCGTCACTCCAGGGAGAGAGGGAGATAGAGAGAGAAAGAGAGAGAGTTGCCAGGCTTGATCTGGGCTGCACCCAACCAGCCATCAAGACAGCAAAACCAACCATCCAGCCAACCCACCAGGCCACATGTCAGACAAGCCCTGACACTATGCCCTTCACCCCCATCATCCTTTGCAACGCACAGAGACACACACGTCACACATGTGCACAGACACACGCACGTTCGCTTTTTCCTGTCCACGTACCCATGCACCTATCCAAATGGCCACCATAATCTAATGCAGACCTCTTTAGAAAAGCCCCTTCTCTAAAAAAAGAACAAAAACACACTTCTGATGTTACCGTTTTGCTCAGCAGCATCTGTAGCATGCCTCTAGACTTCCAGCCTTGCAGCGTAATCTGTCTGCTTTTAATAATTCATAGAAAGCACAGGCTGTGCACTATGTAGTGAATGCTGAGGGTAATGGGAATGTTGTGATATTTCTATCATGGCCTGTCTGGAGCAGCAAGCGAATCAAACCATTAAAGATCTGATAAGCAGTCTGTTCAGTGTCATAACAGCATTGGCTGTCATCACTGCCTTAGGTGGACAGGTTAACAAATCCATTCTGCTCTGTATGCTACAGTCAAATGCAAAAGCAAATGGTGATACCTGACAGAGATACTCTGCTACGTTGACACAAAGTTTCAACTCACACCAAATCATTGAAGACACAGGTACACGTGAGTCTAATGTCATGTTTGACAATCCTGAGAACACCGCTATACTGCACTAAAACTATACTTGATATATAGTGTTGACAGTGAATTTTATTAGACGTGAATGAAAATTTATTTAAAGAGAAAAGGGGCAAACAAAGAGTGGGCATCCATCCATGTGTGAGGTGGGTCTAGAGTTGCACGTCGTGTTGTTTGACTAATGTTTTATCAGGCTTTGCTGTATCACAGCGGATTGCTTTGTCAATAACTAGCCTGGTGCCTCAGTGAGCATGAATCTGAGATTGTCAGGCTGAGTGACAGGCTGGAGATGGCAGATAATTCAAAGAAATTGGAAGTGTGAAATCTTTAAGGGCCACTTCTTAACACAGCAAATGCCAGGGTATCTTTCCATCAGCTGCTGCTCTCACAAGCCACCGCATTGTTAATGGTGGCCTGTCTGTCCATCAAGACCGCTTCAGGAGGGATTTAGACCTGTTTGGCGCCTTATCTCTCTGACTGCCTCCCACTAACCTGACCACTGCACAGGCCTTGAGTGCTCTCTCTGTGTGTGTGTGTGTGTGTGTGTGTGTGTGTGTGTGTGTGTGTGTGTGTGTGTGTGAGTGTGTGTGTGTGTGTTCCATGTGGCCAATGATGATCATAAATCTACCTCCAGAGCAATATACTTTTTCTTTTCTTTCGCTTATTTATAGATACTGATTTATTTGATTATCTCCCCGACAGTGTATTGGTATATCCATCCATTGTTACACAATCAGGAGCCAAATGTAATAGTGCTTGTAGCACTTGTTAATTTAGCTGTCAACACTACTGATTGACCTTAGATTGTAGCAGTAGGAGCTCTTTGTCCTGGTGAATGGGTTTCTGTTTCTGCTGCTGTGTTTCTGGGCGGATGCAGAAAAGCCAGTGTCTGCTTTCAGTTTTGTGCAAAAACATTGTTCTGAGCCAGAGACTCAAAATGTCAGTCACTGATAGGGGTTAACTGTTTTCATATGAGTCACAGCTTAACATATACATATTTTTAGTTAATTTGTTAATAACAGTTAAATGTTAACCTTAAAACTTCATGAAATTGTTGTAATGTAGCTCAAAATGTGCTGCTGTCCACAGAAATCCACTCAAACATGCAAAGTGTGAAGAGGAGGCAATGGAATCAATGTCCTCTATGAATATACATTTCATTAATAAGTTGAGATCTGGGCCATTTGAATACCCAAAATTAACCTAAAAGTAATTTGAAATATAAGTTAATTATTAGTTTCATAATGAGGTTTATGATTAAGAAGTTAATAAAAGAAACAAAAAGTCCAGTTTTGTGCTAGAAAATAAAACCGAGAATTCACACAGGAGTAAAAAGGAAAAGAAAAGATGTGTGTGTATGTGCACGCTGATATTCATTCATCTCACCAGAACTGCCCCTGCTCCATTGAAAGTCAAGTATTCCGATTTTGAATAGTGACCTCCTGACCTAGCTGCTCTATCTGTTTTTCTTTACTCATTTACTAACTTATTCTCTCATACTAACTTGCACTCACACAGTTACTCACTGAAAACTGTTAAGGGTAAAAAGTGTAGGTCAAAGGCAGATGAGGACAGAGAGAAATAAGAGGAGGAAAGACAGCAGGGCATAAAATGGATCCTCCACATCTGCTAATCCAAAAAAAGCTTAGGCTCTGTCCTCTGTTTGTATGTACAGAGAAATAATGAGAGAAAATAGACAGAGAAGGGAGGGGGACTAGAGTGAAGGGCTCAGAGAGAGAAAAAGAAATAAACAAAGAGAAAAAGAAAGAAATATGTCCCCTATTTTCCCCTTGTAGTGGTCTCAATTCCCTGCCAGAGCTCCCTGTCACAGGGAGGTAGTTCCCAGGCCGACACATCTCAAGCTGTTCAAACATCCATTAGGATGTTTTGTTTCATACACTCTACAAATACAGCAAGACGAGAGTGAAACGGGCAAATGATGAGAGGGAAATTGAGGAAGAAAGAAAAGAGACAGAAAGCCAGAGAAGAGAGGATGAAGAGGGGAGTAAGTTGATGGGAACAGCAGAGAAAGGAGAAGAGGAAATTTATCAAGAAACTCGTGTGATATTTAATGATCCTTGTATGTGGAGAGGGAAGACCACACCAGCTCGTTCTCCTCCGCCAAATACCGATCCCCTAACTTAATTTCCTGCTCAATTGCTGTTCTATAGTGCATAGTACAGTGATACAGGCTGGCAATATAGAAAACAGATTGCCTGTGCGGCGAAGTGGATAAGGCTGAGGCTTGTGCTGCTGGAGACCTGCAGTCTCCAGGGGGGTCTTGTCGGTGGGCTTCACAAAACCAACAAAGCCCATCTTTCCCTGCGACTGGCAGCAGCTGGCAGGTAGATCTTCAAGCACTGGAGGTGGGGAAGTGGTTCTGTGGGTGTGGTGTGTGTGTGAGTGTGTGTTTTTCTACAGTGTGTGTATGTGGTGCAGGGAGTCTTGCTATTCTTTGTAGTGGAGAGTTCCACAGTCTTCCATCTTGTGTTTGCTCATGTGCTATGACGCCAATCCACTCAAAAATGTAGGCCTGCATGGACAGCAACCATCAATCAGTGCACAGAACAGTGTGCAACTTACAGCTACAGTGTTTTCCCAGAGACACACACACACACACACACACACACACACACACACACACACACACACACACACACCTTCCATCAGTAATACATACATACAGTACACATGCCTGTTACTGTGTGAGATGCCTTGACAAACCGTATTAGAATTTTTTGCTCATTTTTTCCTGCCATACAGACCGACATTGTTTTTGACATCCAATGTGTACTGAAATCCAGCAGCATGCACAAACACAGGTTTG